GACAGTGGATGTACTATCCTCAACTCTTTCAAGGAGTTTTGCTGCAAATGTGTTAGAGAAACAGCAGTACAGAGAGAGGAAGTAGAGTGAATGGAAGGAAGGTTCCTATAAGATAGCAGAAATAACAGTATCCTCTTGTGCTGATGGTAATAATCCAGCAAAGAGGCAGAATTAATAATGCAGGAAGCAAAGAGGAGCAGTCTTGAAGGTGACATGAGAGAAAAAGGGATTTAATATACAAGTGGAGGGATTGGCTTTAGATAATAGCATGGGTAATTAATCATATCAGAAAGATAAAATATATGGATACAGATGCTGATAACAGGGTTGATGAGGTGGAAGATTTCTGCTCTTTGCTTCAACCTCATTAGTGAAATAGGAAGTAAGGTCATTAATTGAGATTGGAAATGAGGAAGGTGTTAAAGGTTTGAAGAAAGGTGAGAAGGTGTGAAATAGTCTTGTGAATCTAGCAGATTGAGAGCGAGAATGGTTTTCTGTTCAGCGTTAGGGTTTAATGAGGAATGTGGTCATGAATTTAAAATAGAACATTGAGAGTTCTTTTATGTTTTTCTCTAGTTGTATTCACTTGCACAAGTACAGGTATAGAAATGATGGAAAGTTGAATTCAACCAGGACTGTGGTTTTGCCCTGCAACTAAGAAGGTAGAGAGCAACAAGAGAATTGGGAATGTATGTGTGAGAGTGGCTCTATTGATTAACAATGGAAATGAAACTGGATAAAGAGGGAAAAGTGATATCAAGGAACGAGGGATTATGAAATAGTGATAGAATCAATGTATTGGAGGTTCTTGTGAGTTGGAAAAGTTATTTGAATTGGAGCATAAGAAGGGTATGAGCTGGAAAGAGGTGCTGCTCAGAGAGAAGCATGCGTGAAATTGGGGTTGTGGAGAGTTTGCAGCTAATAATAATGACGAAATCTGGCTATGCACATGGTAGTAACTGAGGTAAATAGAGAACATCATTAGAGGAGAGAAATTAAAAGAACCTAGAGGCCAAGTAGTTGGAAGAAACTTGTTCACTGCTAGGAATCGAAGCAAAAACATTGTCAAAGAGAGTTAGTGAACCAAGTGATTAAAATCACTTTAAAGGGAGTGATTTGAGTATTAATAAATGACTAACAATAAGTGGTTATGATCTGTTGACTTGAGTTTTAGAGCCCGGAGTGGTGTATTCAGGGAGAATGATGTGAATGTGATAATGAAGGACAAGAGGAATGGCCAACTCCTTCACTTCTAGGACCAGTGGAACAAGGATTATCGCAAAAATATCAACCACCACATGAGAGGGGCACGGAGCAAACAGTGTCCTTGGGGAAGAATCAGGCTTCTACTAAGCAATAATGTGAGAAGAACATTTAAAGAAGAGTTTAAAGATATAGAGGATTGTGCTGACATCAGACAATGAATTAATTTAAAAAATTCCTTGTGATATATTATACAACTTAGTCTGCCTTCATATATGTAGTGCCCTGCATGGTATATGCTCAGATATTTTTGTGCTGAATAAGTCACTCTTGTCATTGTTTCAAATTGAATGGAAAAAATAGGAGATAAATAAAGATGAAAACTTTGTTTACCAGAAAATTAATTTAGTCTTAATATTTGAGCCTCCTTAGCTATTAAACAGGGTTACAACTTTTAATATATGGTGATAGTTTCCTATATAAATATTATTAATATTAAAACAAAGAGAGATGAACTCCTTGTAAATATATTGAATAAACAAATAAAACGCTGCTAAATATATTTTTGCTTTTCACCTCTTATTTCTCAAGCAGTACCTAAGATAAATTTAATAGTTAGTAAAGACACTGCAAGTAAGAATAAGAGGATATAGGTTTCTCACTTAAGGAAGAAAGAATTGCTGCAGCTGAGAAGTGAAAGTAAGAGGAAATCTGTTGTCCAGGGTGGTAGACCAGGACATGCTCACACAAGAATGACTTTGTGCCAACTCTGTATCCACAAACAGGAAACCTAGATTTGAGATTGTCAGAACCAGAGAGTTCATTATGGCATTTGCCCTTCAGCTCCATGTGTCCTAAACTCTAATGATAATTATTAGCAGTATGAAAAATGGTAGGTTTCAAAGTTATATGTAATATCTGATTTGACCTTTACAACTATGAAAGGATGGTTTTATGGATGAGGAAAGTAAACATCAAAAAAGTGAAGTGACTTGCCCAAAGTTACTGTTACTCCATAGGGAGGCTGGGACCAAACTATAGTCTGATTTCAGTCCAGAATTTTTTAAATCTCATCTCAGTGTAATGCTCTTCAAGTGCTTTCTCCTGGGTAGTGTGGAAAACTTGGCACGGTTTCCAGTGGGATTCCAGGACTCTACTCACACATTAACCAAAGCAGCTCTGTCCGTATGTGTTGAACTTCTGGTCTCTGATTTTGTTTGAAAGAAAGGATCTGTTGGTGAAAAAAAATATTTGAAAATTACCATATTAATACATTTTATTCCTATGGCATCAGATAATATTGACTATATCTAGTAGTTACTCTCAGATGTTTCAGGTAGGGTGGGAAAAGTTTTTCCTTCTCCATCTGGAAAAGTACTTATGTGGTGCCTTCCTAGGTTTGAAGGGTAAGAGTGGGGTCAGTAACAGTCAAATGTCCTGTACTTTAATTGGTTGGTATTTGTGTGAGACTAAATAGACACTTACCACTGTCATTCCAAAAGAGAAAAAAAAAAATTCAAGAAGATAAAGAGGATCTGTGTTGTCATGGCAACAGTTTAACATTGTAATAATTAAAGCTTCTCTTAACTGACTAGCTAAACTGTGACTTAAAACATGAACTATTTACTCTATAATTAGGGCACTGGCTTACTAGAACAAAAATGTTACTGCTTTTTGATTCTTGTTAGAAGGGGCTTTACAGCTGCCCAACTAGATTCAGTGACATAAGAAATAAATTATTGAATTTTTAGGGAGAGGATAGAAGCTTAAATTTTATTATGTTGAAAAACATTAGGGAGGAGAAATTATGGATCAATTTATTTAAAAAAAAGGAATTAATTTATTGGGGGCTTTTTTGCTCACAAAAATAAAAAAAATAATTTAAAATTGTTGCATAAGTGAAAGTGATTTTGGCAGAAATATTAGATTGTTTAGTAAAATATTCTAAATCTCTTAAGAATATTGAATGTATTAACTGGATTATACTAGACCTCTTTAGTAATTCACAACAACACATATTACCTGTATTCCTTTCTAAATTCTTATTATTTCTTAAATGCTCCCTGATGGTTCCCTGACCCTAATTTAAGCCTCTGATCTTGTATATCTGGAATAGATTCAGGATCAAAATACATTTCATAGCATGTTCAATGCATTAAAATGGGATCAATCTGAGGATCAATCTGGGGAAACAGATCACTTCAAGCTTTAAGTAACTTAGTAAAGACTTTTACATATATACTCACTTAGATACTGAAACTAAAATATTGGGTCTTAAATTCAGTACAGTTTTAATTAGGAGCTTATTCCCTCATCTGAGATAAAGTTATCCTAGCTTGTTTCTTTATATAGAAATAATTTTTCAATTATGATCAAGTGGAAAAAGGTATAACAACAAGCATAAAGGATTTTGAAGTAAGTTCTGGAGAGACATTGAATTTAAGAGAGAGATGAAAGAAGGAAAGCCAAGCTAAAGGCTACTGTAGAAATCAAAGTATGAGATGATGAGGATATGGACCAAATAGCAATGGAAATAGAGTAGAATGGACAATTATATGAGATGTCTCAAAGCAAAAACTCAAAAGGACTTAGAAAATTAAGCAAATCCCATGAAATAAAGGAAAAGTGATTCAAACAAGCATAATGCAGGATTCCAAGCATAAGTGACTGACAAAAATGTTAGAGCTATTGTCAGAGATTTTGGAAGAGTGAACTGGTTTTAAAGCAAAATAGAGAAAATAATTAGTTTGCTTGAGTTTGGGGCAAAGTTGGGACATTTGTTTAGAAATCCTCCTTCAAGACAAAGAGATATGGAACTAGGATTTTGTCTATCTGAGATATGTCTAGGGAATCACCAGATTAAAGGTAGTAATTATAGCCCCAAAACTGATTATTAGTCTGATGGAGTGACTGAGAAGAGAAAAGAACAAAAGACCTGGAACCAGACCTTGAGGAAACACATAAGTTGACATAGTTCACGCTAGAAATCATGGAGAAACTATGAGAAGCAGATCTTAATGCAAGTCACATTTATGAGCCATTAGTAAGCTGATATACCTAATGTTCTGGAAATGTTGGAGAGATAAATAGTAACAGTGAGTATAGGAAATTCAGTTTGAATTTTAAGAACTATTATTTAGCCCCAAACTCTAAAATTCTACAGTCTTTTAATCCTTAAGAGTTTCTGAAGCCCACTCCATGTTGAAAAAAGGAAAATGTACTCATTTTTTTCTGTCATAACTATATATTCTTTTGAAAAATACACATTCATCTAGTTATTTTAAGTATTAGAAATAACACAGCGTAAGAATATGTGGACTTATGTTTTTTAATATTGTCATCACTAAAATGGGAAATTCATAAGACCAAAATATCCAGATGAAAAGAAATCAGCCATCTGAATGATTTGTTTACATAATGTTTACATCTAGATACACCCAGGTAACATTTAGTAGAATATTGAACATTTTCGGTAATCATCTTTCTTTACAATTGTGTTTAAAAGTTTTGTGCTTATTATGGTACATAAAAATACCAAAAGCTCATAAAAATGTACATATGTGTGTTTTAGGTGTTTCTATAATTTTAGGAGATTTTTCTTTGAATATTGCATTCCTGGTTTTTCAAAAGTAACTCGTGTGTGTGTGTGTGTGTGTGTGTGTATCCATCTGTTTATTGCTGTAGATATAATGTTCCCATTATCCTGGGTGTGGGGTAGAGTTTATATGCCACTGTATATAACATTATCATCAAAATGATCTACTTAAACGATTTTGTGTGTATGTGTGTGTGTACAGACACAATTCCTTCAGAAGACACCTACCAAGGCAAATGCAGGTTTCCAGTGTTGATTTTGGCATGGGCACAGAACCCATTTTACAAAGAGGAGAAACAACAACCAGCATTGGGAGAATAAAACCAGAGCTCTACAAACAGAAATCAGTTGACTCTGAGGGCAACAAGAAAGAAGATGTCAAAACCTGTGGGAAGCTTAACTTCACCCTCCAGTATGATTATGAAAATGAACTTCTAGTTGTTAAAATTATCAAAGCCTTAGATCTCCCTGCTAAAGACTTCACAGGAACTTCTGACCCTTACGTGAAGATGTATCTTCTTCCAGATAGGAAAAAGAAATTTCAGACCCGTGTGCACAGAAAAACTTTAAATCCTGTGTTTGATGAAACTTTTCAGTTTCCTGTAGCATATGATCAACTAAGCAACCGAAAACTACATTTCACTGTGTATGATTTTGACAGATTTTCTAGACATGACATGATTGGTGAAGTGATTTTTGATAATTTGTTTGAAGCCTCTGATCTCTCCAGGGAAGCCACAGTATGGAAAGATATTCATTGTGCTACCACAGTAAGTTATAATTCCACCAATGTATTCCTTTTTATTTGACCTGCAGTGATATATAAAACTAATTTTTACCCACATTAGTTCTACAAATTAGGGAATTTATGTCCTAAAGACCTGCAAACAGAGTATGTGATTATATACATACATACTAATTCAGACACTTAACACTATGTAGGTAACATTAGTGATTGTATAAATAAAAAAATCTTTTTCTTCAACATCTAACCTTTGTTTCTACACTTCCTGTTTGGGGAAATTCATTGCTTCACTGTATTGGACATTTCTTGTAATTTGCCAAAAATAGTAGGCCTTTTCCCTTGTAAAAATATTTATCTGTAACCTATTATCAGCACTCAGTTTCCTCATAGTTATTATTGACTTTCATTATTTAAGATGATTTTGTTCCTCAGATTAAACCTAAAATGTACTTTGATGCCACTGGAAGCTCCTTGATTTTGTCTAAAACAGCCCATTCCTTCAGGAGATTTTGTGGAATTGATAAGATTATAGCATTTGAAATGCCGAATGATCAAGAAGTAATTGTTTACATTAGAACTTTTCCTTTTCATTACAAAATGCTTTTTCTGATTATAAAATAATTTAATATTGAAAATTTTAGAAACAGCGTAAAAAACATAAAATTAAATAATCCATAATGCCATGAATTATATGTAAAAACAGCATATTTCTTTCTACTTTTTTTTCTTTTAATGTTTTAAAATAAGATCAAACCAAGTTTAAATTTTTTCATACTCACTTTTTTAGTGCTATATATGTTTTAGTACATGATGTTTAAATATATGATCCATTTTCCTAACCATTCTTTTATTGTTGGACATTTGAATTAGGCATAAATTTTGTTAGACTAAAAATTTGTTTCATTCTCTATACATAAATCTCTTTTTTTATTCAAGATTATTTGTCCAGAATAGAATTGGAGAAACACAGTTAGGGAACTGGTCTCTTTGGAGGTTAGATTGCTAAATTTTTTTCATTTGTTAGTTTTTAAATGAAGCCATTTAATTTTTTGCTACCAGGTTGTCTTAACATCTTTTGTCTAAGTTTTACCACAAATTATAAACTAGAAATGTTGAAGTTTTGGACAGTGACAGGGATTATTTAAAAAATAAGAAAACTTTAAAATTCAAAATAGCTCCTTTTGTATTTTCCCCTTATTAGTGTTTTACTAAGTACAACCAGTATTTAGGGTTATTAAATTTTCATTATTAGGTTTTTATTTCATGGTCTCCACTGTGATAATCTATTAGGGAACAAACTGGATTATATTTCAAAGGCACATTGGGGCTATTTTGATTTCTTTTTTTTTTCACTTTATTACTTATATTCCTACAGGGATAAAAGTGGTGAAGAGTGAATTTTACTGTTTTAAATATATTACACCTTCTGTAGAATTCTACAAATGCAGATAATAATTAATTGTTAGGTTATTTCTCTTGATTCGCCAATCTTATATTAGTCCTTCTTTTATTCATTCAACAAATATTTGCTGATTGCCTACTCTGTGTTTGATGTACTGTAAGTACTAGGGATGCAACAAATGTTACCATAAAAAAAACTGTTTCGTTCATATATTTGGGTTCAGGTAAGTAACCCCTAAATGAAGTCTAAAAATTTACATAATTTTATAGGTGATTGACAGTGGATTATTTTTTTACATTCATAAGTTTTTGTATTCCATACTGGTCCTTAAACAACGGTAAGAATCCCTTGTGGAAGCTTCAATTTTTGACTGCTAATAGAACATAAATTGTTTGGGTTTTTTTGGTAAATATTAATGAATTCTTCAATTTTATTTTGAACTCTCCCATGTGCTTGAAGTATTAATTTTTTATTTCTGCTGTAAAAATTACCACAAATGTAGTGTCTTAAAATAACACAAGTTTATCACCTCATATTTCTGTAGGTTAGAAGTCCAACATAGGTCTTATTGGACTAAAATCAAGGTATTGGCAGGGCTCTGTTCCTTTCTGGAGCCTCTAAGGGTGGTCCATATCCTTGCCTTTTCCAGATTCTAGCAGTCGCAGGCATTCCTTGGCTTAGATTTAACCCACGTGAGCAATTTAGGATAAGCTTCCCATCTCAAGGTTTATAATCTTAATTACATCTGCAAAGTCCTTTTTGCCATGTAGGTAGCATACTCAGGTCAGGATATTAGGAAGCAGCCATCTTTAGGGATGCCTTTATTCTGCCTACCACAGCATAGACATTTTCATTTCAGTATTCTGGGTATGAAAGGAAGTATGCAGATAATAAAATGTATTGTTAAATTATTCTAGTCAAATGACGTTTCTCTTTAACTGGAACACTGAGCCACACACTGTTCTAGATACTGTTTATGACTTTTTTGTTGCAAAGATAATGATGAAACCTAAATTTCTTGACTATGGGACCAAAGTTCACAATATACACTAGCATCATCTTTATGGTTAATGTAGTATTTAATTAAAACTTCTCTTAAGCTTTTGAAAAATTATTAAACAATTTTATATTCTCAGATTAATAAAAATGAAAAAAATAATGAGTTGAAATTTGCTTAAGAAACTGTCTTTTCCTACTCACACATCTTTAATTTTAAGTAATTTCACACAGAAATTATAGAATGTTCTAGAAAGAAGGAGAAAGGGAAGAAAGTAATGTAGTCATATGCCCTCACTAAATACTTGTTGAATAAATAACTTAGCATATTTGCATATAAGGCCAAGTGAAAGAATGTATGTTAGTACAAATCTCCCAGAAGAAAAAAAGAACAGTGCAATGATGTACCTTTTGATATGCTTGGTTATATTTGTTGACATTAACTACTTTCTTAGGCAAAAATTATTCAGTGTGTAGCACAATTTCATATGTAAAATAAACCAGAAATATTTTAAATTTATTGTTAAAAATCCTAAATGGTTGAAACAAGAGGCATGTATCATGTATTTATAATTTTATTACCAATAAATTATTTCTATGCAAGAGGGGTTAATATTTTTATCAGGAATTAGCAGTTTATTTTTATAAATTTCAGGTTGAATGAAAAGAAAACAATAAAGGCATGTCTTTATTCTGTGCAAAAAATTAGTTTTCACTTTAGAGTTGTATATTACAAATATGGCAAGCCAGTCAGCTCTTCAACTAACATAAATATCTTCAATATAGGGAAAAATCACATTGGAGGACAGTGTGTACCTTATGCCTCTACTTCTGTAATGGGAAAGAGAAATATATATTCATATTCAGTTATATATACAAAAAAAGTTTTATATGAGGAGACACAAGAATTTAATAATAGTTGCTAACCTATTGGCAAAAATAGTAGAAGCTGGATGAATATGGAGAAGGAATGATTTGCAACATATTCCTTTATATACATTTTAAGCTTAAACTATGCAAGAATAATATTATTCAGATTTTAATTAACATTTTTTCCAAAAGTCCTGTATAATAACGACTAATGTATTTTGAATATATAAATGTAGTTTTCTTATACACACTCAAGAATCCATTGAAAGTTTACATAGATAAGGAAAAGCTTTCCTTCTTATGAACAGAACCACTTCATTTTTCATATTTATTTATTTACTCATCTATTCAAATAACATTTTTTTCAGCACCAACTATGTTCTAGACACTTAGGAATTCTCAAGGGAGGAAGTGTGTGTGTGTGTGTGTATGTGTGTGTGTGTGTGTGTGTGTAACCACATTGACCTGGTTTATAGCTATAAAATGCTTGAATCTATTATCTTCTAACTAAGGGTCTATCAAATATTATTTTTTTGAATATTTCTGTTTTGTAAATAAGTTCATTTATACTATTTTTTAGATCCCACTTATCAGTGTAAGCATATAATATTTGTCTTTCTCTGTGTGACTTACTTCATTTAGTATGACAATCTCTTTATTTCATTCTTTATTATGGCTAAGTATTATTCCTATTTCACTATATGTGTATATATGTGTGTGTGTATATCTATATCTATATCTATATCTATCTATCTATCTATCTATCTATATATATATATCACATCTTCTTTATGCATTCATCTGTTGATGGATATTTAGGTTGCTTCCATGTCTTGGCTATTGTAAATAGTGCCACTACAAACATTGAGGTGCATGTTTCTCTTCAAATTAGAGCTTTCCTCTTTTCTGGATTTATGCCCAGGAGTGAGATTGCTGGATCATATGGTGCCTCTATTTTTAGTTTTTTAAGGAAACTCCATACTGTTTTCCATAGTGGCTGCACCAATTTACATTCCCACCAACAGTGTAGAGGATTCCCTTTTCTCCACACCCTAGCCAGCATTTGTTTGTAGACATTTTAATAATGGCCATTCTGACTGATGTGACATGATACCTCATTGTAGTTTTCATTTGCATTTCTCTGATAATTAGCAACATTGAGCATCTTTTTGCATGCCTATTGTCTTCTTTTTTTTTTTTTTACATCTTTATTGGAGTATAATTGCTTTACAGTGGTGTGTTAGTTTCTGCTTTACAACAAAATGAATCAGTTATACATACACATATGTTCCCATATCTCTTCCCTCTGTGTCTCCCTCCCTCCTACCCTCCCTATCCCACCCCTCCAGGCGGTCACAAAGCACCGAGCTGATCTCCCTGTGTTACGCAGCTGCTCCCCACTAGCTATCTACCTTACGTTTAGTAGTGTATATATGTCCATACCTCTCTCTTGCTTTGTCACAGCTTCCCCTTCCCCCCCCCCATATGCTCAAGTCCATTCTCTAGTAGGTCTGTGTCTTTATCCCTGTTTTACCCCTAGCTTCTTCATGACATTTTTTTTCTTAAATTCCATATATATGTGTTAGCATATGGTATTTGTCTCTCTCTTTCTGACTTACTTCACTTTGTATGACAGACTGTAGGTCTATCCACCTAATCACAAATAGCTCAATTTCATTTCTTTTTATGGCTGAGTAATATTCTATTGTATATATGTGCCACATCTTCTTTATCCATTCATCTGATGATGGGCACTT